TTGTCGACCGACACTTTTGTTAGTGACGTCATAATTTCAGATCCCTATTCCCGCAAAAAATTTCGGACATGTCACTATGCCGGTGTCACGCGTCCGCATAACCAAGACATTAGGACTTGTTTATTCAAAAATATCGATGTTTCTCGATGTCTAAGAACTTATTTTGCAAAATAGATATTCTATATTTAAAGAATATCAGGTTAACAGAATCATTTAATTACAGTGCTTGAAAATACATCGGGATCAAGTTACATGACACATGGCAGAAAAGCAGATTGCATTCACCGAGTGTATGGTGTTCCCATAAAAAAACACATTGTTGATATTTTATATAATACCTCATCAAAGTCTTAATTTATTATTATACAAACTTTTCAAATCGAAAGGATTCAAACTCATTCTCCATTCACATTCTTTTTATCGAATGTGTTCTTATATTAATGTTTCTTCAATCCGAAAATGTAAATTTGGATCTGTTTTTTCTATGTCTTTGAATTATTTTATTTCTGCAACACGTAAATTTATAAAACAAACATCGTAATTTAGACACTGAGTAAAATCTGTATTGGCAGTTTGAGTTTTTATTCAGCAACAATTTGATTATGTAATCTTTGTAACCCTGTTAATGGTTACCTATTCCGTAATAATTTGTTCGATGCACAAATTTCTATAAACCAGCCAAGTATTTGTCATCTAGACTATTGCAACAAAAAAATTGCTTCTCTCATCTTCTTTTACTTGAAAACATGAAATTGCATGAAATTGCATTGAATGCACCTGAGAGTTTCTCTCGAGAAGATTTTCGCCACAAAGTCAGCACACAATACAAAATACAGACTTGTATTCAACCACAAAAGGTATTAACTTGAGTTTATAGTTATAAAGGAGCCTCACACCTCAAGGTAACTCGAGGACGTTTGCTCTTTGCTCACGAAACACGTGACCTTGATATTAATCCGTTCAACGTCAGACTGGTTCGTGTCACGATGGTCAGCCATCTCTAACAAGTTGGTCAATAGATGACAATCGGCAAATCAGATATTCAAATTTACTGGTTGCGTAACAAGCAAAAAGCAGATTGAAGGAGGTGTTCATTAGTGTGGGGCATGGTTACAAAAAGAGAAATAATATACCAGACAATTACAAACTAAATTAAAATTTTTAATCTTCATAATAGAGATAATAATTGATGTCCCTTTAATAAACATTGAAACAAATATTTTTATCTCAGTATATAGCTATCATGCAGTCCTCGTTGTCGACTAGTTTTTCTTATAACGTAGCAAGCACAAATGAATTCTATTTAAAGTAATAAGTAATTTATAACTACCCAACTAGAAATTACCCTGTTATGCCAGCCCACGCTTACCACTGGCGCAATCACACTGAAAATGATACAGTATCGGCAATTACAGTATTACACTCTATCAATTCTTATTTTTTGCTTATTTATTCTAGATTAGGTTTCTTAATTATACTAATATTTGGAACCCATTATTTATAGCATACTATATTTGTATTTATGCACATTACCTTTTAGGTTTATATTATATGCATCAGTACTGAATGAGTTAATAATTTCCTAGCATTTAATTTTGAGAAAGAATGGCTAAGCAAACACGAAAAAAAAGTTATTTTTTACTACACCCACACAGCACCGAAACTTTCTTGAAAATTTATTAAAGATTTATTTACTTGCAAAGTTTAGTGAAAATTTAGTAAAGATTTAAATATCCCCACTTAAATAAAAAAATGTTTATCGTCGAATTTTCCTAAAAATTTAACTTAAATACTTAAAACTTTCCTAAACATTTCAATTTAAATTTTCAACTTCTCTCTTATAAGCGAATTATTTTTATAAAATTTAATAAAATTCGTTGCAAGATTTCAATTATTTTTATAAATAATAAAATGCTTCACCAAAATTCAATTATTTTTAAAAATTTTAATAAAATTCTTATGAAGAATTCAATTATTTTTAAAAATTTTGATAAAATTCGATGCAAAAATTTAATTATTTTTATAATAAATAAAATCCTTCTCAGAAATTCAATTATTTAAAGATTTTGTTTAAAAATTCTTATGAAAAATTCAATTCTTTTCAAAAATAACAACATTTTTTACAGAAATTCAATTATTTTTGAAAGTTTTAATAAAATTCTTATAAAGAATTAAATTATTTTCAAAAATAACAAAATTTTTTACAGAAATTCAATTATTTTTATAAATAATAAAATGCTTCTCAGAAATTCAATTATTTTTAACAATTTTAATAAAATTCTCATGAAGAATTCAATTATTTTTAAAAATTTTAATAAAATTCTTATGAAGGATTCAATTATTTTTAAAATTTTTTATTAAATTGTTATGAAAAATTAAATTATTTTTAAAAATTTTAATAAAATTCGTTGCAAGAATTCAATTTTTTTTATAAATAATAAAATCTTTCTTAGAAATTCAGTTGATTTTTAAAAATTTCTATAAAATTCTTATGAAGAATTCAATTATTTTTAAAAATAACAAAATTTTTTACAGAAATTCAATTATTTTTATAAATAATAAAATCCTTTTCAGAAATTCAATTATTTTAAAAAATTTTTTAAAAATTCTTCTGAAGAATTCAATTCTTTTCAAAAATAACAACATTTTTTATAGAAATTCAATTATTTTAAAAAATTTTAATAAAATTATTTGCAAGAATTCAATTATTTTTATAAACAATAAAATCCTTACCAGAAATTCATTTATTTTTTAAAATTTTAATAAAATTCGTTGCAAGAATTCAAATACTTTTATAAATAATAAAATCCTTCTCACAAATTCAATTATTTTTAAAAATTTTAATAAAATTTTTATGAAGGATTCAATTATTTTAAAAATTTTTTATTAAATTATTATGAAGAATTCAATTATTTTCAAAAGTAACAAAATTTTTTACAGAAATTCAATTATTTTAAAAATTTTTAATAAAATTCGTTGCAAAAATTTAATTATTTTTATAATAAATAAAATCCTTCCCAGAAATTCAATTATTTTTTAAAATTTTAATAAAATTCTTATGAAGAATAATTCAATTATTTTCAGAAATAACAAAATTTTTTACAGAAATTCAATTATTTAAAAATTTTTTTTAAAAATTTTTATGAAGATTCAATTTTTTTCAAAAATAACATTTTTTACAGAAATTCAATTGTTTTTAAAAATTTAAATAAAATTCCTTTTTAGAAATTCAATTCTTCTAATAAAATTCTTATAAAGAATTTAATTATTTTTAAAAATAACAAAATTTTTAACAGAAATTCAATTATTTTTAAGAATTTTAATAAAATTCCTTGTAAGAATTCAATTATTTTCAGGAATAACAAAATTTTTTACAGAAATTCAATTATTTTAAAAATTTTTAATAAAATTCTTTGCAAGAATTTAATTATTTTTATAAATATTAAAATCCTTCTCAGGAGTTCGATTATTTTAAAAAATTTTAAAGTTTAGTGAAAATTGTGTAAAGATTTAAATGTCCCCACTTAAATAAATGTTTATCGTCAAATTTTTCTAAAAATTTAACTTAAATACTTAAAAATTTCCTGAACATTTAAATTTAAATTTCATCTTCTCTCTTATAAGCAAACATGTAATTTAAACCTTTCCTGAAAATTTAAATTAATTTTTCAGGAAAGTTTCACGCTAAACATTTATTGAAGTGGGACATTTAATTAAATCTTTACAAAATTTTCACTAAACTTTTCAAGTAAATACTTTGAAGTTTGCAAGTAAATCTTTAATAAATTTTTAGGAAAGTTTCGGTGCTGTGTGGACATTTACAAAGTAAAACCTAAACGGTCTAAAACTTCTTCGTATTTCTGGCAATGTTTACTATTTTCGTAATTATAAATCTTTCTTTATGTTCTCGTAATGATTTTAAAGTTAACTAAAAATCTAAATTCTGAAGCAAAATAATATACATTGTTTAATTATATTTTCGTCTCTATTTTTTAATACATACTAACATGAGTCTCAGAAGACTATTGCAGTTTATTATATAATAATCAGTTCCAATTTTGAAATTTGGGAAAAGAAAATAAAATTTTTTAAAAATTCAGAAACAAAATTCGGCCGCACAATAACTTATAATAGGAGATAATTCTCAGGAAGAAATTCTATTTTTAGTTTTTATTTCTAGACACAGTACTTTCAAGTGAATCAGTTTGATAGATTTTAAATTGAAAACGATATTCAACCTCGTTTAAACGTCGCAGTTAAATCTCTTGTGGAATATCAACCAGAAAGCGTGACGTATTCATTGTCTTTAGATTTGTACTTAATAATCGTTTAAATTTTACGGAGAATCATTATCTTAATTAATATTTTTTATCCTCTTTTCCAAAAACGAAAATTTTTTTTGAAAATAAACTAAAATTCGACAATTGTTTATAATTCACTTCCTTGTAATAATAAGCCTTGAATTTATCAGTTTTGCGACGTATTAATCGAAAATATGTCAAAAGTGCTAAAAGCAGATTTCTAAACAGTTTTTTTAGTATCGATTACTAATTCAAATAACAAAATTTCAAAAGATTATTAAAAACTGAATGCGTCAAGGATGCGAGCTTTTCAAAGGTCTTTAAAATTTCTCAAAATAGAAATGTCAATATTTTCATATAAAGATAATGACTTTAGCACCATAAAAGATGTCGATGTGTTATTATTCAAATTGTTGAGAAATATATATTCATGTTAATGAATTAAAAAACGATTAGAAAATATTGTTAAATATCACGAGACAGTAAATTCTGGCAACTTTCTCGTTCTCACAATCAGCGAATAGAAGTTTCAGCGCAACGCGGTAATGTTATCTTGGCTTAGAAGTCGACATCTTGACTACTCTAACCGTTGCGACTGAGAGTCAGTAATCTTCCTTCTCACTCGATTTCCTGCGACGAAGCAGATTCTCTTTATTATCCTTTAATCTCAGAGTAAACAGTTCCGCTATCAAATACCCTCCTCCAATCAAGGGGCATTTTTTTTCTTTTTAAATCATTTTTTCATTTCCATGCGAGAGTAAACTTTTTATCGCGAAAAAGAAATAGGATTCAGTGTCCTTCTCTGTTGAGCGCCGGCAGACAGGGTCCCGTAAAGGTCATCCGTGAAGGCGTGCTCCGGATGAGAGGAATTCCACCATGGGAAACATCGACGGTTCGAGATTGGAGAGAGTACTGATGTTTAGTTTTCTTATTGGATCCAGCGTTCATAATTCGTTTCTACGCTTTGCTCCGTAGAATCTACAACTGATTTCTTATGTTTGCAAAACATCTCTTTTAAGTTTCTTTTGAAAAATAAAAAAAAATTAACTATGTACTTTATGTCAATTATTATATCATCAATTGTTCAAAAATAAAATTCGTTGCGACAGTTCAATGATTTTTAAAAATTTTAATAAAATTCGTTGCAAGAATTCAATTATTTCTATAAATAATAAAATCCTTCCCAGAAATTAAATTATTTTTAAAAATTTAAATAAAATTCTTATGAAGAATTCAATTATTATTTTCAAAAATCACAACATTTTTTACAGAAATTCAATTATTTTTATAAATAATAAAATCCTTTTCAGAAATTCAATTATTTTCAAAAATAATAAAATTCTTCCTGGAAATTCAATTATTTTTTAAAATTTTAATAAAATTCGTTGAAGAATTCAATTATTTTTAAAAATAACAAAATTTTCTACAGAAATTCAATTATTTTTTAAACCTTTTAATAAAATTCGATGCAAGAATTCAATTATTTTTATAAATAATAAAATCCTTCTCAGAAATATAATTATTTTTTAAAACTTTAATAAAATTCTTATAAAGAATTCAATTATTTTCAAAAATATCAAAATTTCTTACAGAAATTCAATTATTTATAAATTTTTTAATAAAATTCGTTGCAAGAATTCAATTTTTTTTTATAAATAATGAAACGTCTTACAGAAATTCAATTATTTTTAAAAATTTTAATGAAATTCGTTGCAAGAATTCAATGAGTTTTATAAATAAATAAATTGTTTTTAAAAATTTTAATAAAATTCGATGTAAAATTACAATCATTTTCCTAAAAAATAAAACTTATCGCAGGATTTTAATTGTTTTTAACACAATTTCAAATAAATTTCACGAAAATTGCAATTATTTTTAAATATTTTATTAAAATTCTTTAAAAGAATTCAATTACCATTTAAAAAAAAATTATTAAAATTTAATGAAATTCTTCGGGAAAGTTCAATTATTTTTAATTCAATTTGAATACAACTTCTTGATAGAATATTATTTATTGTTAAAAATTTTAATAAAATTTTTTAACAGAATTCCTTTATTTTTCAAAATTGTGATTTGTTTTTTTACAAATTTTGTATTTTTATTTTTATTTATTATTTTCATAAATAAAATTTTCACAGGGGAATTTAACCAAAAAAAAAAAAGAAAAAAATGATTAAATTGTAGAAGAACTACAGCTGTAATTTTTAGAAATAGTTAAATTTCAAAAAGGCTTTATATTTACATCATTTAAAATAGTTTAATTACAAAAATTTGAATTTTGGAGAAGTTTGAAATAATTGTAAAAATTCAATTGTTATTTTTGAAAATAATTGAAAATTTTTCATAAGAATTTTATTAAAATTTTTCAAAATAATTGAATTTCTGGGAAGGATTTTATTATTTATAAAAATAATTGAATTCTTGCAAGGAATTTTATTAAAATTTTTAAAAATAATTGAATTTCTGCAAAAAAATTTTGTTATTTTTGAAAATAATTAAATTCTTCATAAGCACTTTTAAAAAATTTTTTTAAATAATTGAATTTCTGAAAATGATTTTATTATTTATAAAAATAATTAATTTTCTGGGAAAGATTTTATTCGTAATAAAAATAATTGAATTCATCATAAGAATTTTTAAAAAAAATTTTCAAATAATTGAATTTCTGAGAAGGATTTTATTATTTATAAGAATAATTGAATTTCTGGAAAAAAATGTTGTTATTTATAAAAATAATTGAATTTCTGTAAAAACCTTTGTTATTTTTGAAAATAATTGAATTCTTTATAAGAATTTTATTATTTTTGAAAGTAATTGAATGTCTGAATAGGATTTTATTATTTATAAAAATAAATAGACAATGAAATTTACTTGATAAGAAACTATTGCTTACACCTTACATATGATATATTCAGTCACAAGTCGAAACTAAAAAACTACATCTAATTATAAAAATAATTGAATTTACGTAAAAAATTTTTTTATATTTGAAAATAATTGAATTATTCATAAGAATTTAAAAAAATTTTTTAAATAATTGCCATCTTTTATATTTTAGGGAACGTTCATAAACTACGTAGCACGTCTAGGGGGAGGGGGGGGGTCAAGCAATTGTCTACCATAAGAGGAAAAAATGGCGCTAATACATGTAACTGCGTCCACGTGGGGGGAGGTGGGGTGAAAATTTCCAAAAAATTGGTCTACGTAGTTTATGAACGTTCCCTTATTATAAAACATGAAGAAGTCGATCGCTTCGAGTCGAAGACTCGGAGTGATCGATATCTTCATGTTTTATAGTTATGAAGAAATTTAATTTTTAGTTTTAAGTAAAATGTTTTTATTTGACCAGGATTGGTTATATTTTTGTCAGGAATTGGTCCGTAAGTTTTTCATTTTTGGTCCGGCAATGTAAATTTTTAAATACTGGTCCAAATCCTGATAATATAATAACATTTCCTGGATTTTAGAGTTTGTTGTGCATGCGGAGAATTTAAAGAATAAACTCCTCATCGAAGCATGCACAGCCTCTATAGGCAGAGGGAAAGAGAGTTGAGGTTGATGCCGAGTAAACGAGTTGAAGGAGGAGAGGAAAATAATAAAGCCTTGTCGGAGGGAAAAGGACAGGTAGACGCGTGTGATGAGGAGGTCTATGGGTGGGTACGAGGAGAGGCGCGAGGAGAGAGCGAGAGCGAGAGTGGGATGCTGAGAGCGGAGCCGGAGAGACTCGCGGGCGAGAGTGGACGGACGGCATGCCACCACTCCTTGAGAGCTCCTTTACTCCCGTGTCACGACTTTTATTTGCCGCAGGCCGCCTTCCCCGCGTTCGACCTGCACAGTCGGCCCTGGTGGTGGTGCAGTCAGTGTTCCGAACCTGCTACGTGCGCGCACTCAGGACGAGTCGGTGCGTGCTCGCGAAATCACCCAGGCACCGATGTGGCGTCGTCGGTCGCAACAAGTGTCTCTGAATGGAATGCGGTGCTTCGCCCACAAGCTTTACCCGAAAACCTGAGGAAATCGGAGTTGATTTCAATCTCTCGAGGAGTGAGGAAAAACCTTGTCGGGAAAAAGAGTAGGTCGAGATATGCGGGAGAAAAGGAGGAAGAAGAGTTGTAAAGAAGAAGAAGAAGAAGAAGAAGAAGAGGAGGAGAGTTGGCACGAAGACGAAGCGTCTAAGGATGAACGAGGTTAATTTGAGGCGAGAGTCTTCAGGGTCGCGATTCGAAGGACAGTTTTAATTTCGAAGGACAGCCCTAGAGCGTTCTCTTGGGAAATAAAGCGAAGTTTGAATCTTTCGTTGTGCGAGCCAAGGATCCCATGAGAGCCCTTTCGTTCGAGAACCTAAGGAGGCTCGTCGGTCGGAGGAAGGATCGCGATGAGCCTTCCTTCGAACGCAGCGAGTCCTTCAAGCGGATTTCCATTAGGAAGAGTTACTTGGATCGTGGCAAGAGAAGACACCGATTGCAGAAGGTGGTCGATCCCGAGGAGTCGAGACTAAGGTCTAAGATTCTTCTGCGATGCAATGAGGAGGAGAACACTGAGGACGAGAAGAGAATCGACTCTCCGGACGGGACTATTGTTTATGACGACTGGATTCATTCGGCGTACGCCAAGAAAGTCGATTCTTGCTCCATTGATTCGATTCACTCGAATTCGAGGGAATTCGATCCAAGAAAGGACTCGAAGAATTCTAGGAAGGAGTCGGAGTCGAATTCGAATTCTTTCGGTTCGAAGAAGAAGAGAGTACCCCCAAAGAGGAATCCCGAACGGAGAAAAGCTCCTCCACCGCCACCACCTAGGAATATTGAGTTGTCGCCCGTTTTGATTGAACTTCCCCAAGAAAACGAGGAGGAGAATAATGTTTCTTTGGGACGAGTTTGGACCCAATCGTTCTCATCAGGCCATGGGACGGAAGTGTCCTCTAGGGATGAGAAACCACGGCAAGCTTCTCTTTCAGAGAAGACAAAGAGCGATTCTTCCCGAGATGGGAGCAGATCTGGTTTTAGTTTTTCTCTGTCCATCTCTAGATTGACAACTGACTTGCGAGCCGCTGCGGTCACTACCAGGAACGGATTGTTTAGACGGAAAAAAGGGTCGAAACCATCGCCGAGTGTCAGTGCGGAGGGTTATTTCGAAAGAACAGCGGCGGCGTCATCAATGCGGCGATCAGGGAGGACGAACTGCTCGCGAAGACGAACCTACTGCTCGAGAAGGAGGAAAATAGTGACCACCAGTCCCTTGAAGCCCAAGGTTCCTGGGAGTCCGGTGTGGTTCGTGCCTCCTGAGAGGCGTCGCTCCGCGAGGCAGAAGGGCAGGGTTTGGCGAGAGGTCAGATATTTTCCCGAGGATCACGTGCAGGGGGAGGATCTTCTCAAGAGACGTGACCTCGAGGAGAGAACCAACGACTGGTCATCGAATCTCTCCGATGAGTTCGACGACCGGAAGTTACTTCTGTCCGGTGACTTTGACGAGCGAGTGAGAAACGAAGAAGATGAAAAAACGAATTATCAGAAGGAGAATAAAAGAAATGAACTTAATTCGAAAAGTGTTGATTCTTCCTTACAGTCCTCGACCACTTCGCTGATATCGAGTGACGACGATCAGAGAGTGCCACCGAAAATCAGTGATTTTAATGAGGATAAAATATTCTGCGAGGAATTTCGTGGTGAGATGGCAGTGACTAGTCGAGGGGGGAATTATTTTGCGAGTAGTCAATTTTTGGGTTTTCTCTCGAAAAAAGAGGTGGAAGTTCCGTTTAAAAATAGTGCTGGATCGAGGTATCGATGTTTGTCGTCGAGTGAGAGCGAAACCGAAGTGGTGCTTTTTGTGGATAAGAAAGAAAACAGCTCAAGAGATGTGGATTGTGAGAGCAGTGAAAGTTATAGAAGTCGATCTGTTGTTTTGATATTGGAGGGACAAAGGTCGAGTGTGAGGAGGTCGGAGGTAGTCGCAGGACCCAGAAGACGACCGTTGAGGAGGAAGTCCCAATTGAGAAGGGCCAACTGCAGGGGACAACCTGTTTATCTAGCTAGGAAACGTTCATCCCTCAGAAGACGACCCTGCAGTAAGAATTATTTTCCTCCGAAACAATTTTTTTTTATTTCAAATATTTTGAGTTTTAGATGATTTTTAACAAATACAAAAGTACAGTTTTTCTGTGGTCCACCAGCCATGACGATCGTTCTGCTTCCTGGAATGCATGGCTTATTCTGTTTTAAATATTTTATTACGGTTTCTGAAAATTAAAAACAATTTCAAATTAGTCAAAACTTTCTCAGGAAGAAAGATATAAAATTATAAAATTTGCAACTTTACGAATTTTAAACGAAATTAAAATCTACATGATGATATTCAATCCACTGACATGAATATCCTCATTATACCGCGATTCAACGTAAAAGAATTTACAGTTTTATTTTTTTAATCTTAATGGCAAAAAGAGAATTGTTCTGATTGGCGTGAGATATTCGTAACAGAATTTGTATTATATATTATAAAAAAAAATGTTTTTAACCTTGGTACCAAACCTTCTTGACGCATAGAAAGAGTAAATACAATTGCTCAACTTCAGAATGCATTGCTTGCATAATACTGGCCTTTAAAATACACGAGTTCTTTTCGTCTTCCGATTTTATTCTACCTACTAAATAAACACTTTTATTCTTTATTCAAGAAAAGATTTTCAATTGGTTTTCATTTTAACTTTTCCAATAAAATCAACTCGGACATAAAAGTTTGTTCAATATTTTAATTAAATTTCAAAATTCCATTTTTAATTTAAAAAAAAATTGTAAAGAATTAAGACAAGAATAAATATAATTTTAAGAACGATAAATAAAAATTATGCAACAAATTAAACTTACCCATAAATGACTAATTTCAGGTGTGGACAGAATTGACGGAAATGATAAAATAATCTGTACACTCCACCTAGCTTTGTTTTTACAATAAATATAGTTATCAAAGGAATCCCTTTTCTCATATATCTCGAAGGTTACGTACAGGGAAACTCGTTCAGCTGTGTCTTATTAGAAACTTCAGTAATAATTTATAAAAGTAAATAATTTATTTTTGTCAATGTATTTGCATAGTGTATTGGATTATTGAATTTCCGCCTTCTTTAGTTTATCCCCTAAGAACATTAAACGTATTTATAAACTTACTTAATTCATCTCGACATTTTATAAAATGCCAACATGTCCGGTAATTTTATAACATTATAATGCTAATCGAACTGAAAGGCAAACTTGAGTAAAATTGTCTTTAAAGTTCATGTCTTTATTACAGACCACTTTTCAAAATTCTTCTATTCCATAAAAACAAAATCGTCAGTGATTAGCGATGGGGAAAAATTTGTTACTGGTCCACAAATGGCAGTTAATGTTTTTCAAATACAATCAATACCCTATTAAATATTTCATTCGAATAACCGATTACTTGCCTAAATTAAATATTTATACTTTGTTTAAATAATTTTTATTTAAATCAATTAAATTGAAATAATAGTTTTCAGTATTTGGAGCAAATGACATTTAATTGCCTTTTAAAAATTATTTGATAGAAATAAATATTTGCATATTTAATATAATAGACCGGTAATCGTTTATTTGAATAAAAATAAATATTTCTTGGAGGCATGTTTTATTGCCTTATGCTTAAAGATGAATTTGCTAATCAAAGAGAAATCTCCCTTTTTTTTGTTCCTTCGAAGGATTTCACTCAGACATCTTAATTTTATTAAATATGTATTAGAAACATAATAAAAAGAAAATAAAAGTTTTGTGAATGTAGAGCAGAATCTTGCTCTAGATTTCACTTGAAAGCCTCCCAAAGGTTGAACATATAATATTAAAACCTCCACCATAAAACAAAGTCTATTTACATGACAAGTACCATTTTTTCAACTGTTAGTTAGCGCACGGTATACTTTACTCACTTTTTAATTTCATTGTATGAATGAATAAAAAAAAATTTTTTTTTAAAGTTTCTATAAAGGTACTGAAAAGTCGAAAATAAATCACTAAGTTGGTTGAAAAGATAATCTTATATTCTTATCAATTTTAGACTTCAGAAATCTGACAATAAGACGAACATTTTTTTATTTTAAATCTTTTAAAAATATACTGTAAACACTCTATTACGAAAATATTCAATAGAACCTATTTTTTTTATTATCTTTTTGTAGAATATTATTTAGTAGCATTTTCTTCATTTACGATACATTTTATAAAGCATTTTCAATTATTACAGGAGTCAATAATAATGTTGATTAACGTGCAGAAATTTTTGTACATTCATTCACGATTATCCTGCTATTTTTAATAAATTAATGTAAAAAGATTGTACTTCCTAAGACTTGCCGGTTACGTAAACCTTTGAATATTCTAAATTCTAAAACTCACTGTTCAAATTCACTTTAATAAACTTTCTATCACGCAAAGTTTTCCAATCTTTGAATCGTGAACGTTGTGAACTTCACCCACGTAAAATAACTCTTTCAAGATATTTCGTAAAGAATATGAAAAGTTTTTAAAATATTTTAAAATAGTTATTTTTATATTGTTTTAATGAATGCAATTTTGTAATTACATAAAATTACATAAAACGTATGTTGAATATATATAGTTTGTAGAAAACTATGTAGAAAAGTAAACTTTCAGGGCTGTTAAAGTCCTGAAAAAACCTGTAATTGTTATGAAATTTTTTTTATTAAACTTTTCAGTTATATAAAAACAAAAAAAAAAATCTGGAAAAATCAGAGAATTATATTAAATGATTTTTAAAATTATCTCTTGAACTTGAATGAATTATTTTCGAATTTTTCGAATTCGCTATTGAAAATTGTTATTTTTCCAAAGTAAGTTTTACTACTTCTTAAGGAAATTTTTCTAATTTTCATAAAGAAATTTTCTTTCGAAATAGTAAAAATTATTCTAGAAATAACAATTTTTAATAACAAAGGGACCCCGCAGGAAATACATTAGTTTTGAATAACAGTCGATTTTTTTTATAAATTTTGAATTTTAAGTTTTTAATCAGTCTGCAGGCCTCGAATATTATTTTCGACTTTTTTCGACTATTTTCAAATAACTCGACTTTTACTGACCTATATTAAAAAATTGCACTTTTTCGACTTTTCTTCCAAATTTTGCGACAAAATACCATATTTTTTAGTATAAAATGGAACTTATTTCGATTTTTATAGTGTGAACAGCATAACTATAAAAACATCTTTGATAATTTATTTTTAAATAATTTTTCTAATTAAATTTTTGATATGTACAATTAAAAAGATTTCGAATAATTGAAATTTTTGTAAAATTTAATTGACAATAAATCATTTTTCCAAGTATTTTATTACAATTTTTGAAAATTAACTTTTAAAAGATTTTAGTTGAAAATTTTGAAAATGTAATTGAATTCTCAAAAATTTTAATGAATAATCTTCAATTTAAATTTAATAAAAATGAAAATTAATGAAAATTACGTTCTAAAAATAATATTAAAATAGTTTTGAAAAAAGTAATTTTTCAGAAATCATTTGTTATTAAAATTCTTCAAAAATTGATTATTTTTTTTTTATATTTTTTAAAAACTCAATTATTATTCAGAGATTTTACCAAATTTCAATTTTTTGGACATTATTTTAAAAAATTTATAAAAAATTAATTTTAAGAATTTCTTAATTAAAATTTTTGAAAATATTCTACCTAATATCATTAAATAAAAATTGGACATTTTCAATTATTATAAAAAATTGAATTTTTGTATTAAAATAATTGAATTCTCGAAGAAGTTTCGAAAAATTATTAAAAATTAATATTGATAATTAATTTAGAGATGAAGTTTAGTTCAAAATTGTAGAAAATAATTAAATTTTATCTTTTTTTTAAATTTTAATTAAAAATTTTAGATTTTAATCTTTTTTCAAAGATTTTACCAAATTTCAATTATTTTTTCAAAGATTTTACCAAATTTTTTTACCAAATTTTAGTTCAAAATTGTAGAAAATAATTGAATTTTATCTTCTTTTTAAAATTTTAATTAAAAATTTTATCTTTTTTTTTTTTTAATTTTGATTAAAAATTTTAGATTTTAATCTTTTTTTCAAAGATTTTACCAAATTTTTTTTACCAAAGTTTAGTTCAAAATTTTAGAAAATAATTGAATTTTATCTTTTTTTTAAATTTTAATTAAAAATTTTAGATTTTAATCTTTTTTTCAAAGATTTTACCAAATTTCAATTATTTTTTAAAAGATTTTACCAAATTTTTTTTTACCAAAGTTTAGTTCAAAATTGTAGAAAGTAATTGAATTTTATCTTCTTTTTAAAATTTTAATTAAAAATTTTATCTTTTTTTTTTTAAATTTTGATTAAAAATGTTAGATTTTAATCTTTTTTTTTAAAAAGATTTGACCAAATTTCAATTATTTTTTGAAAGATTTTACCAAATTTCAATTTTTTGGAGATTGTTTAGAAATATTAAAAAAAAAAATTAATTTTAATAATTTCTTTATTAAAATTTTTGAAAATAATCTACCTATCTTTAAAAATAAAAATGAACATTTTCAATTATTATAAAAAATTGAATTTTTGTATTAAAATAATTGAATTCTCGAAGAACTTTCGAAAAATTATTAAAAATGAATATAAAATAATTGATTTAGAGATGAAGTTTAGTTCAAAATTATAAAAAATAATTGAATTTTGGAAGGTTTATAGTTGAAATTTTTTTTATTTTATTTCCTGTTAATAAAGACATAAGAATAGTATTTAAATTTGTATTTGGCAAAATTATTTGAGCTGTGATTAATTGAATTTGAAATCAGTGAAGAATCAGGGAAATACAAAATAAAATTTTTTGTGACAACACTGAATTAAATAAACGACATTTTTTCTATTTTTAATCGACTTTTTTGGTTCGTTAATGTCGATTTGAGGCCTGGAACAACTTGCCTGAAAATTTACCTGAATCTTGTAAATATTACCGTAAAATCTTGTTGTAAAATTAATATTACATAATTATATATTTCTCTTTTATCTGTGTAAATAAAATAGAAACT